AGCCCGGGGGGAGCCGCAGAAGCCCGCGGTGGCAGGCGGGTGCTGTGCCGCAGGCTGGAGCAAGCTCTGGGGCTCCATCCTCCTGCTGCCAGCACCCTCCTGCACGCCCGCTGCTCCGAATTTGATGAACCACTCGAGCTTCGCCACAGCCTTTTGCGTGAAATGGGGGCTGGGTTGAAGGTGAAACGCTGGTTACAAAACCTGGCAAGACTTGCCTGTGTGGATGTGAACTCCTAGCTGCACCTGAAACACCTGCCTATACAGATTTCTGATGTTTGTGTCATATGGCTGGTATACATCTCTTGCTGATGTCTCCTGTAGGACTAGGTGCTGCTGAATCCCTCCAAGGAATTTGCACTTACAGCTTGGAGAACAAAAGAAAGCAATATTCTTCAGATACCTCGCTTGCAAACAAATGCAGGGTTTGGATTTGCCTTAGGACAGCGCGTATGTGCTATGTTATCTGGACTTTGTATAAGAATTTGAGTTGTCTTACAAGCACATGAGTTCTACAACAAAATAAGTAAGTCTTACTCACTTTTAAAAATGGAAGGAGTATGTTGAGGTGCAGCCAGGGGTATTAGTGCAGCATTTGGACACGCTGCTCAGCTGGTGTTGGTGCTGACCCCTGTAGCATTGGGGTCCTGGGAGATTGCTTCCATGGTCGGTTGGTGCAGATCCCGATACTGCCACAGCTTTTGCTTCTGGCTGCAGTGTGGCTGGTGCTGCGGCATGGGTGGAGGTGAGCGCCTGCCCTCACAGCACACAGCCCGATGCTGGCACAGCCTCAGGTGGGACCCACTGCAGTTGTGACATACTCTTTCTATAAATCCATCAATCCCTAGGAGTTTTTGCATATTTTTTTTTTTGTGTTTGAAGTGGAAACTGGTTTTAGGGAGCACTCTTAGCCGTATAGTATAGTGACTCAACAGAAAAACTGCTTCATAGGCACAACTCTTGGTCGCTCGTATTGCCTTCTGCAGTTACCTGCTCCCAGGCGGTGTTGGGGCGCGGCTGAGAGGGGCTGTTGGGTGCGTGCTGTTTGCTGTAGCCTGGCCGGGTGGTGGGATTGCTCCCTGTGTCAGGGAGGTCTGCCTGCTGTGGCTCCCTTGCTGCTCCCAGCTCCTGGGCAGAGTTTTCCCTGAGCATGTTCCATCATCTGTTTCAAAGTCAGGTTGCTTTGTTGTTAGCAGTTTTGTGAAGAAAACCAGGCTGGCCTCAGTAACTTTCTTCTGAGTATTTTGGGGAACTTTCACACATTTGCTGATGTGCTGCCACTTCCCTTGGCAAGGTGCTAGTGCCCTGCAAGCCTTTCCTGCCTCTGGCCCTCGGACATCACCCTTGGGAAGTCATACCAGCTACATATGGAAGACAACCTGAAACACTTTGATCATGTGCTGGAACAAATGTCACCTGTTAATTCCCTGATCTGAAGAGGAAACACATCACTTTTTTGGCAGTACCAGCTGAGGTATTCCTTATCCTAAATTCAGTTTCAATCAGAAAAGATACTGGGCGTTGGGTTTTTTTGCTGTGAGATATAACAAAAGTTTGTCATTACTTCAGAACTGAATGGTGTGGAAAGACCTAATGAAATAATGTGTGTTAACTTACCTAACGTGGGTAATAAGCAACATTGGAGTAATTAATTTCATTCATCCTGCTATAATCAAAGACAGGCCTCAGGGTTTTGTTTTACACAAAAAAACTCTTATGTCCTGACTGTCAGTAAGAAAAATTATCTTCCGCTATAGATGTTGCTGAAATATGGGGAAATGAATCAAATGCTTAAGAATTCTTGCTTAACAAGTTCTGCTGAAAGCACAGGTGTTAACGCCTGTCTGAGCCAGAGCCTGACTTTGATCCTGCTTAAGCAGGAGTAAATTAGTTCACTTGGCTGATGCTGCTGGACTTGTGCCAGCACAGTGTAAATGAGACCAAATGTAGGATCATTATAGGAACTGGATATGAAAAAGATTAGAGTAATTCCTTGGCAGGTTTTGTTCCGTGGTCTCTTCCAAATTCTCAAGGCCAGAGCAAGCTTCCCTTTGCTGATGCAGTCCATGTCATTCTCTCGTGTGCTTTTCTGGGGGCTGCTACTAGGTACTGGGTGATGTTTACATAGGACTCCGTCACAACTCCAAAGAGCTCTTCCCTGGAGGGCTGCAGTTAGGAACTGTTTTTCTTCCCTATGTATTGTATTTATTCACACCAAGCTTCATCTGTCACTTTACATGTAGTTTTCCACTATTGTGAGGCTTTCTACCACTGAGTAACTCAGCGGACTGTATCACCTCACAACTCTCTTCCAAATGGCAAACATCTTGATATTCAGCAAAGCCATATGTGGAGCTAGTATTTTTCTTGAGCGATTCAGACAGAAGGTTCTGGTTGCAGAGGGGGAGCAGATTCAGCTTTGGTGACAGACCGTGATTTCAGTTTGCAGGAGTCAGGCTGTTGCTGTTGCCCCGCAACTCAAATTCCCACCTGGCTCTCCTGCTTGTGCTGCAAAGTGGCCCTCTCCAGCAGCAGGGCTGGGAGGCGGCAGGGGCGAGCATCCCCTCAGGCCCTGCCCGTCCTGCCACCCGCCTGGGTGAGCTAGCCTGCGCTGGGGGAAGCCCAGCAGATCCAGCAAGGCAGAGCACGCAAAGTAACTGGGAAGCAACAGCTACTGCCACGCATGCACATGTTAGCACAGCATGCTATGCAGTGTAGTTTTTGCAAAATATTTATTACAAAATAAAAGTAAATATGGCAACAAAACTTAAATAGCAAATGATGCGACACTGGCCATAAAGCTCTTGCTATATTATTAGTCTTTTTACAATAATCAATAGTCAAGTATGTCTCCAAGGGAAGCTGCATGTGCACAGCTTGAGTGTATTTCTATATTGTTGGCTCTAGCTGTTTGGGATACATTAGACGTGTGCCTCCTGTTTTCACCTGTACCTGTCTGTGAGTGGTTGTGCCGTGTGCTGGGCTCACTGATCCCCCTAAAACGGACAGGAGCCGGCAATTCCCACACTCTGTGAAACCTGCCATGCTTTACCCCAGCCCCTCCTCCCCTTTTTTCTTTTAAAAATGCAGCAAATGACCCAACGCCCATCCCTTTTTAATAAGGTAGCAGGAAATGGAGTATCAACACTGAAGTACCTATTGTTCCCCTTTGAGTCACAACTTCTCTTGTGAGAGTTTGCTTGGATTTCTTTCCTTTCCCACCTGCTAAAAACTGTTATTAAAGCTCACTGGTGAGGAATGCAGTCCTTCAAGTCTCTTAAGCTACGTGTCTAATGGAAGCACTCTTTAAATACAATACAATTAAATTAAAAAAGGTGACTGTGTGGGGGGAATCTTCCTAAGGCACCCGAGAATTTAAAAAGACCTTTTCCCACTCATATTACTTACAGGACACTCTTGTTTCTCTTCTCTCCGAAGTTAAAAATGTTGGCTAGTTAGGAACCTTAGCATACAGGATGACATAGTTGAATATAACTTAAAAAAACAGATCAAAAAGAAAAACCTTGGTGAATGTAAAGCGCTATGTCCAGACAGCCTAGATTTCGCTAGCTATGCAAATACATCACGGACAACATGTAGAAATAGTCACGTTAATGCCGAGGTTTCCGTTGTCAGCAAAAAGGTGTGCTATAGCTGTATCAAAAACTAGGCAGTCGCTGTTCAGAATGGCCGCAGCCACCCCGTCGTGGATGGAGCGGGGCGTTGCCTCCCAGGTCAGCCGGCGGCGGTTGCCATTCAGCTCCAGTCTGTATGCAAAGTTCTCTGCTTGCTTACGGGTGCCGATGAGCAGCACGATGGCAAAAAACTGCTGGTGACCTTCGTACTTCTCTTGTTTCTCCAGCACCAGCATGAAGTGGTGACCGAAGCACGACTGCATCATCACCCAGTCAACCGCACCTGGAAGGTTAATGTCTGTGGCAAGAAAAACGATGTCTTCTCCCTGAAGGGTGGTAATGCTTTTGTGGGCGTGCATGAGGTGGGACATCACAGCTTCCAAGGATCCCTGCCATTTACAGGAGGCACCAGGGCATGGGCAGGAGTAGGGACGATACTCACAGATGTCTTCGTGTTCTGGCTTTTCTGTGTGATGGAGTGTCAGAGAGCAGCCTGTTGTGGCGTACTGGAAAAAGACCAAACACAAGCAGTCAGGAAAGGCACCAGCACTAGTGTTTGCTGCTCCCACCTGTCAACTGGAAACACTGGTGATGAACCAGAACTCTTGTTCTCATTGAAAATTTTACATTAGATACTTCTATTTAGCCCTGAATTTAGTGCTGAGCTCTACTTATTTTTATTTCCACTTAAGAATGAATTTTTTGTGTTGTGTTTTTTTTTTTTCTCTAATGCAAGCACTCTGATAAAATGGATTGTAAGGCTGAGTTGTAGTTAGATTTGCTGTTGTAGTTAAATCTGATTGGTCCAGATCAGCTGAAGTGGTCCTGGTTTGTATTTTTCTTTTCATTAAAAAGAACGCAGGATTCTACTTTCATCAAACAGCTACTAGAGTGAAATATTTTTAATAGATGTACCTTATTACCATCACAGAGCAAAAGCACTTCTATTAAATTCAAATGCAGATTCCTCACTGCTTTTTTTAAACTGGAACAGTCTCAACACTGCAGTTGTGAGAAGTGGGAAGAGAGAGGACAATTTTTCACCAAGCATAAAGCTAGTGCACAAGTAAGTACCTTCTTTTTACATTGTTGGGCACATTAGAGGGTTAATTTGCTTTAAACAGCTGGGGATGCTTTTCCTTTTCCTAGTCAGTTCAGTTGTCCACATTGACCATATTGTTTTCACACTATCTCCATAGAGAGAAAAAAGTCTCTTCTATTCTCCCCAAGAGCACAGCTCCCCCAGTCTGTGGGTATCTGTAGCAATACCAACACCACTGCTAATGCTGTCACGCAGGTTACAACATGCCTGCATGGCTGCTTATGGACACTATGGCGCTTCCTTGAGGACAGATATAACCAAGGTATCAATGATTATTTTTGGGCTAACGTGTGCAAGAAGTTTCAGCTCAATGGGTCAAATTCAGCTCAAATGCCCAAGGTGCAAATCACCCATGCTGCAAACACGAGGTATACTGCGCTAGGAATACTGGGACAGAATCTCAACCTTGTGTTTCTGGAGGAGCTTGTTTTATAAGCCACAAAGAGTTAACGTGAGCCTTCACTTACTGCGTCTGCCCCTGCTGCTTAATCCTCTGCTAATGGCTTTATTGCAGGTCGATGCAGCAGAACAAGGTGTCCTCCTGCCAAAGGTAGAAGCCCCATCATGGCAAACGTGTGGCCTGCCATGCCTGTTGCCCTGCCGTGTACCACAGCGACCCAGGTAGGTGTATGCTTCCAGCCCCACCAGCCTCCTGTTTTTTCCTAAGTTAACACTTCCATCATGTAATGTGTTGAAGAGCAGCTCCGAGCCTAACCTCATTAACAAAATTAGTAAGGATATACAAGCCGCTGGTTGAGCAAAACCAGATGTCTATGTGAAAGCAAGCAGTGATGGCTATAGAAGTGAGAGTGTAAGAGCAAGATGAGCAAATAGTAGTGGCTTTGCCCTTCGCTGTGAGAAGTACCTGCTTTTGTGTGCTCCCAAACCCATCACTGTGGGTTTCATTTGATGAGGAGCCCTACCAATGATGGGAGACCGTGAACAGCAAAAACTGACTTGCTGTCTTCATGCTGCTTGGCAAAGGTCATTGATCTTTATCATACCTTTCAAAAGCTTGCGTTTCTCCCTGTGTACAGGTTATACAATACCTTTGAGCTACTTGGCCTGTGCACCTTTTCCACTTCTACCGTGTCCGCCTTGAGATGGGGAGCTAGGGCTGCACACGGTGCTAACAGTGCAGCCATGACACTAGTGCCTGGGCTGGCATGACTGTTTTCTGCTTTTTCAATGCCCTTCTCATCTTTTCTGGTATTCCATGCAGGAAAGTATTATGTACTTCCTTTCATAGTCATTTGTTTAGCACTGTATTTTCTCTCCTAAGAGGAAACTGGTCAGCTCAGAGCTCATCACCAAGTACATGACTTAGCGTGCCATGTTTTTGCCACATATGTCACTCTGCATGTGCTGCTCTGAACTTCACTTTGACAAGATCACTTTCTGAGTGTCCCAAAGCATTTGGAAAACATCAGTTAAGCTTGAAAGTGCTCAGCAGAGGCAGGCCAGTATTATCAACCCTGTAAATGAAGGCAGGCAGGGACACAGGATTAAAGTAACTTGCCTGAAGCCACATGGGAAATCAGTAGCAGAGCTGTGAATAGACTGCCAAGTCCAAATCTCTCCTGCTCTAGCCAGCAGACGCTCCCTCTAGTATACATGTAGCCTGAGATACAAATAGTGCTTCTGGAAAGAAGAGGCCTGCCTGCTCCCATATGTATGTCAGCAACGTTCAGGGACATGGCTATTTTTTTTTTTTTTTTTTTTTTTTTAAACTTTTAAAGAAAAGCCCTGAAGAGGCTGTAGAGGCAGCATTGAACAATATACAGGAGTAAGTTTGTATACAGTAACATGAATGTGCAATTTCTGTTTGCAAGTTGTTTGCTTACATGGGGAAACCTGTCACGCTTTCCCTTGAACTGATGGTGTAGCAGCAGCAGTCTAAGGACATAGCGTGGTTTTGCCTACCTCCTACCACCTGTCTAAAGAAAATTAAAGTGGTTAGTCTGATACTACTTAAGACTTCTTAGTTTATATACAGTCTCACTATACCTTTACAATTTTTAAATCCGAAGTGTTGGTTGTGAGGTGCAGAAAGACTTTCAATTTTTTTCTGCAAAGCAAAGTGTAAGAGTACAGTACAATGAATGTACTGGATTTGCTTTTCTTCAAAAGGACCAGAAGCACATGGAAACTCAGAAACATGGCAATATCTCCAGTTAGAGATGGCTGTGTTAAAGGACCTTGGAAGACTCTTCATGTGAGGTATCTGTCCTAGCTTCCAAGATCAGGGCATTGCCACTCCTAAGAAAGCTGGCAAGAATGGAATTTCAACCCCCTGAAAAATCAAGCCCTGTGTACTTAGATTTTTTTTTTTAATGTATGTAATAACTGGAAAAGTAATTTCCTTTATTATAAGCAAAACTTACTGCTAGGTTGAATTAATCACAGCACTGAGAAATCACTGGTGTACCTATGCAGAAGTTCTGGGGGTTGGTTGGTTTGCTTGTTTCTTTTTCCCTATTATACATTGCTAAATGCCATCCATATAGCTGCCCAGCCAGGCTGCTACCAGAGTGTAAACAAACACTGAATTTGCTGTTGGATATTCTTTTCTTGATGCTGGTCTAGTTTTTGCCCATGTATGTTAGAGGTGAATTCTATTGTAAACTGAAACGCAAGCAGGAACTGCCTACAGTTTTACACAGTGCAAATGGGGAGTGCTGGTTGCACGTCATTTCCATGGCCATGCCAAGATTACTCAAGCATGAACATCTTTGTTTGTCAAGTCCCACCACAAAAGGCTAGCAAAACACGGCAGGGCGCAGATCTTGGCTAATACTCACGGTTACATGAGGACTATGGTTGTGCTGATGACAACAGAGAAAGCTCACGACTCTACTTGCTTTCTCATAGACTTTGGATGACGTGGTTAAATCGAGAAACGCCTCTCCCCACCCTATGCTGCTCAGTTAGCCATGTCACAGTTCCAAGTTTAGCAGCTAATGATCACAGTGTATCTCATGCACTGCTGTGAAAATGAATTCTGGTGGCTCTTTACACAGCTTCAAATTCCTAAGATTTATTTTCTTTCATAGCCAGTATTGGACAAGGACCCCAAAGTTACAGAAGGACCTGTATCCAGAGTAAGTCACCTTCATAACTAGATAGCACCTTTGTATTATTTTCCATTTGCACTTACTTAAAAGATGAAAGAAAATAACTAGTTCCTTTTGGCATTCATTAATTAGGAGTTTGAATGTATTTATGATGTGCACTTTGTCTTCTGCAGATTGCTTAGAGCACTAAAAGGCATTTTATATTTTCAGTAACTTTACTGTGACTTTAAGATTTAAAACCTCCTACAGATTTTTTTTTTTCCAGAAGCTCTGTAAAGTGCAGAGATGCAATAACTGTAATTCTTTCATAAAGCATTTTAAGAACAACAACTATAAACTCAAAAGCAGCTATAGCCACGGGCAACACCAAATCCCCGTTTTCAGTCGGTTCTGTCATGTCTCAGTCCTATTTATTTTGAGTACCATTCACAGTTATCTCTTGAAGCGTAGGGACCTCCTCCGGACAGACCACCATCTCCATCTGTTCTTTCACATTTTCTGGAGCTCTAAGTTCCCCCCCCCTGCCCTGAAAGCTTATGTCAGGTTCCCTTAATGCAGTGAAAACCACAGGTGAGTCAGACCAGGGCCAGGCCCTGGCAGGCAGTGGGCTGGGGTGTGCTGGCTACCCGATAGGCACCCACCGCCAAGGGGCACGGTGGGTCACCTCCCCACTGGCTGCCTGCAACCTACATAAACACTGACTGAGAATTATAGCCCTGACAGTTTGTTGCTGTTTTTGGGCCCAAGAAACAAGAGTGAAAAACATTAACACGTGCTAATTTTACTTTGCAGCTCTTGGGAACAGTGAAAGCAGTGGAGCAGGAATTGCTCACAGCAGAAAAAATCCACATAAAAGAGAGGGTGTGAGAGGTAAGAGGAGCAGAGACTTATTCACACCTCTGCCTCCACAAGGAGCTTCTGGGTGCCTGATGAGTAGGGGGCAGAGAGCTGGTGAGCAGATACTGGTGTGCGGGGAGGACACACGCTCCTGCACGGGTCATACCGCAGCATGGTCTGGGACGTGGGGCTATGCAAGTGCTGTGCTTTTGGGTCCGCAGGTCTGAGCTAGACAACTCACAGGCGCACGTGTGACCACAGCAGCGTGGCATGGGGGAACTCTGCGTCCTGCCAGCAGCACCGCTCGGCTCCCCTGCACACAGCTGGGGCCAGGAGCTGCTGCCACCCCCTGTGCTGCCCCAGCTGTCCCCTCCCACGCACAGTAGCCTAGGGCTTCTCCTGCACTAGGTTCTCACCGGGCAGCTGCGAGGTGCAGCACACCAACCACTACTGGTTTAGTTCTTCTCCAGCTTCGCCCAGCTCTGAACTGGCTTGCAGGTGCTGCACTAAGAAACCAAACCAAGCCCCAAGCCAGCACAAGCCCAGTCCACAGCCTCCTGCCTGTTGCAGCAGCCACCTCTGATGTGCTGACCAGCACAGACCCACACCTTGGGTTATTGCAGAGACCATCAAAACACTGTTGGGTCAGAGCCAAAACTCTCCCAGTCCCATAACCAAGACATTGAGCTGCCTGAGCCCCAGCACTTGCTTCAGCTGTTGCAAACCTCACTGGCGTCTCTCCTTTGCCAGATCACTGCTTTGAAGAGCGCATCAACCGCAGGAGTAATACTTGGAGGAATTTTTGGCAATGCTGTTTTCCTAACTGATTGACATGTGCTAGCCGCCGCCTTATTATTTATATTTAGAGAATGCCCAGCGGGAGAAGCGTTTACAGCTGATAGACCTGAACCAGAACCTGCCTGACAGATGCAGGGATCACTATGAGGTTCTCCTGGAGGAGCATGGGGTGGGGAGTGTTCTTAGGCATGCTTTGTTGGTGCTTACTCCTCTACCCATGGAGAAAGCAGACCTCAAGGGGTGAAAAAGCCAATCCCATCAATTAAGGGCTTAAGAAACCTTTCTGTTACCCAGTGAGTAAAGTAACGCCTGACAGGTAAAGTTAGGAATGTCTTATCTTCGCCTCTTTATGGGGAAGAGTCTGTAGGCTTTTTGCTCCCTCTCCCATGCTTTGTTTACCCACAACACGTGGGGATGAGCAGGCACGAGTCCTGCCTGGCCATCTGGCTGCTGGACAGACTGGCACCCTGTGGGCAGCAGAGCTGCACCTTAGTGCAATGAAGGGCTGTGAGGACTCTGGTCTGGGGAGCTGCTCCAGCCTGGATGCATCACTTTCATTTAGGACAAGCAGGGAATACCAGCTGTCACAGATGAGACCGACAAGACACTTTGGAAAATGAGAACTAGGCCAGCATTTCAGTGAAACCCCCTCACTGTCTGTTTGTGTTCCCTTGGGCTCAGACTGGGTCACAGCTGGGCATGTGGCTCGCTGCACTTGTTGCTGTGTTCAGCAGAGAGGACCCGTGTCCCACCACTGCGCTCCATCTGTTATTGCCACCGTGAGGTTCACTCCCATTCAAGGGTGAGCGGTGAAGCAGCCCCATGCTGTCAAAAGCTCTGCAAGACGTGACAGTGACAGCCGGCCCATCCTGTGACCCAGCTGGCCCCCTGAGGCAGATGGGGCGCTTGCCACCAACCATGCTGTGCTGCTGCAGTCGACACAGACGCTTCGCTCTTCCCGCGGGCTGGCCAGGGAAAGCTGCTGCTAGGGACTGACTTTTCCAGGCAGAGTTGGCGAGTGCCTGCTCGCAGCTCTCACCGGAAAGCTCGCCATGCATCGCCGGAGCCCAGTAGTGCCCGCTCCAGCTCCATCGGTCCCACTGCCAGCCCAACCACGGCTCTCCACAGACAGCTCTGTATTTTAAAACTTTCTTCTCATATTCCACATCAGCAATGGCTCCAGCAGTTCCTGTATCTGTCCTTCCATCACTTCAGCCTGTGGTTTTAAAGTGCTTTTGATATTACGGAGGTATGAGCATCGAGGGGCTCCAGGAAGACATTAAAAAGGACCCGCTCAGCATTACCTGCATGTACGTATCTGCCGTCCTGGTAAATGTCTGTGAGGAAGGATATGCCCTTTAGAGCAGTTCACCTAGTTCTTTTAAACAGAAAACTCACTTTAAAAAAAAAAAAAACCAGACCAAACTTAAATGTTTAATCGCGAATACTGGAATAGTGCTGAGATGGAACAGACTTGAAAAAGAATAATTCAGATGAAATTACTGACCTGACAGCTTACCAGCCCCTGCCCTTCCAAAGGAGGGCTGTGGAGAACTAATGAGAGAGACATGAACAGAATTTCTGCTACTTCCATAAGCCACTTTTTAAAGACTGAGCATCAGAACAGTTTACAATCACTAGGGAAAAGAAAAGAGGTCTAGCCTTTGTATCTACTGATTATGCCAGTACTAAGACAAAATTTAGAGCAGGATTTTCAGTCAACTAGAAAGAATCATTAGAAGTTTTGCTTTTAAAGGCTGGTGGCACTCCTGTCATTTTACTTTAGAAACCTGCAGAACCAGGAAACAGGCTCAGGGAGGCTGGCAAGTGCCTCCTTTTTTGTTCTGTGTTTATGATGGGGAAGAAATAAGGGGAAGAAGGGGACATGGACCAGCAAAAAACAAAGACTTTGCAGAGCTACAGCTTTGCTGTCTGCAGCGGCTCTGGACAAGTCCCATGTGCTGTTGCGGGAGGAGACTCCCCAGGGTATTTTCAGCGTGGGCATTATTGTAAATGCCAAGAAATCATCACCTTCTTCAAACTGCCAAGTGGACCTACTATTGCTTGCGTTGGATGAACCTTAGAAAGCTCCTTAAAGTCTTCTTGTAAGCTGTTTCTGTATCGAAATAGGAATGAAGATGAGACATAAACCCATCGGGAAATTCTGCATCTGTCTGTTCTCCTCTCCTCAGCCTGCAAATCCCAGGGCAGCCCAGGCACGGCCAAACACGACACTTTTACCTACCCCAGCTGGTGAAGTGAAAAATCATTTGGTTTTTCGGACTGAAAGAGGATCACGCCGTTCTTTGCCGCTAAGCGAAAAAACACGCTTCAAGGCCGTGTTTATACCGAAACACCCGAACGGGTAAGCTTTTTCCGCCCCCCTTCTTGCGGAAGGGACTTAATGGGACTGCGAGTCGCCAACACCTGAACTTTTCCACCGAGAAAAGTTTTTTCTTCCATCGTGCCACCACCCCAGCCCATCACCACCTTTTTCCTGGAGGGGGAGGATCTTGTGGGGGGAAGATTAAGAT